AAGTCACACACACGCACACATCTTCGCACGCACGCCCTGCGCTGGCGCCCTCTTCATTCGTCGTGCACAAGCCACACACAAAGTAAGGTGAGAGAGACGCAAATTCCTCCTTCCCTACTGCAGCTTCAGCCTCTCCCATGAGTCTATGATGGTGCCGGGAGCTCAGCGGGACTCAACGGACGGTTGTAAAGAAAGACGTTCGTCACGGTCAAGTTGGTCTTTTTCCCACGGTTGAGGGTGCCGTAAACGCCCGCGCCAAAGTAAAATCCCACGATCTCTTCCTTCGCCGCAAAGTTCACAACTCGCCCCCCGGCTCCCTTCAGTGGCTTTTGGTCAATGTATATGGTACCCATACCGTTCTGCACAACGAGCGCCACTTGGTACGCTTGTTTCGCACTCCAGCTGACTCCTGAAGACACCCGGTTTTTCCCGTACAGAGCTATCCATCTTCCATGGTTGTGGCCAAGCCCAAAACGCTTCTTCAATTTATCGGGAAGCCTCACCCTGACGCCTAAGACGGTGCCATGATCCTTCTTGTCGCCATCCATCGTCACTGTGGCCAACAGAGTAAAGTTGTGATGTGCAAAATGATACGGTTGATGCTGCACCCCGTAGCTCACGGGCAAAAACGCACCGGCGTCGTGCCCACCGAATTTAAATCCGTTGGTGACAGGAATTGCATTCTTCAAAACGGCACTACTGCAGCCGTAGCTGTCCTGCCATGCATTGTCTTTGTGCTTGCCGGCAAAAACGCTTACAAGCCCATCTGTGGGAACAGCTGGCCCACACTCACCATCCAAGCCAGGGTTTGCAGCAGAACGGGTACAAGACGCTGAATACTTGTTGCCCAGCGTCTTCCACTCCGACAACAGTCGCTTTACCCTCGTCAGCTCCTCAGACAGGTGTGTCAATACGACAGCACTTCCCTTCTCACCGTCTTCCACGTGTAGAGAGAACAGGTTGCCCCTTGCGTAAAGCAAAGTGCTGGAACCGACGCTTCTGCCAGGCGGGGATATCAGCCCCACATGGACCACGCGGTTGCCGTCACTTACCCAAAGGTGAAGCCCATTGAATATCTTCGTTCCTTGGACAGCTTCAGTCAACGATGTAACCAGCAAAACCTCCTTTCCATCAATGTTTGCATTGATAAAGCCGGACTGTTTTCCAGCTCCATGCCGACCCTTTGAGTTGCCCCACACGCCTGACAGCATTCTGTGAGACTCCTTCCAATACCCATCGGTGTATTCGTACACCCTGCGATACCCGCTTTCACACGGGGTCATCATGAGCAACGTCTCTTGTCAATCGACGACTGTGGGAGTCGTGCAGCCCTCATCACTTGTTCCTTCCGAGAGCGACCAATTGAAACGGTGCTGCACCGAATGCATGATCAGCGAGACGACCTTTCCATTCTTATTTGTAGCTTGCATTGGGTATACAGGAATTCCGGGCGCGTACATAATGCCCGCCCCACCTCCCCCAATAAGTTGAATCAAATTGCCTCCGTCAAGTTGATCCTCAATTCGGGACTTCAAGTTAACGGAATTAGTCAGCCATAACCCCTTGAGCCCATCTGGCCGTTCCGTCACTGCAACAGTCACAAACGGATCCCAGTAGCTTCGGTCCCTCGGTTGTGTCCACGGCTTTTGGGTCTTCTGGTAGGCCCCGTAAAAAAGGTAGAGGTTTTTCTCAGCACTGACTGCGGCAGGGCCCACCGCAAAAGTATAATTGGCCTTCGTAAGATGATTGAAAGGAATACTTGTGCCCCACGCCCCTCCATTATCCCTGAGCAGTTCCTGCATCCACGTGCTCGCATTGTACTCAACGTATTTCATCATAATCATCGAACCATTTATTCTCGATTTGTTCACCATGTAGTGCTCTTCGCAGATTACAACCAAGAAATCACCCGCCACGGCAAGAGTGGGGGTGCAAAACCTGTCGTCGTTGAAAAAACAGTATCCTGGCCCTTCGAAGTCATCGCCAATACCTTGTCTGGATTCTGTTGAAGCAGTATCACCCTTCATCCACGGAGATTATCAACCTCCTTTGACTGCTTATCCTGAGCCTCAGCGCAGCCGCACATCAGCACGCAGAGGAGGAGGAAGAGCACCGCCAAGGAAATCATCTGCCAGGATATCTTGGGCATGTGTGTGTATGTGTGTTACTGGCGGTGGCTGC